AAACGCAAGAATTGACACAAATCAAGAAGAAAAATACAAAGATTTAACGAAGTTCGGCAATATGCATACATCCTCGAGAGCAGAGCGGTGGTCTCCTTTAAATTTCACGAAAAACAGTACAACACCTTCTTTAGGGTTACAATAATATATATATATATATATAGACACACACACACACACACACACACACACACACACGTTGTATTGTAACCCTAAAGGAGATTTTGTACTGTTTCGTGAAATTAAAAGAAGACCGCCGCTCTGCTCTCGAGGACGTGGGCATATTGCCGAACTTCGTTATATCTGTGTATTTTTCTTCTTGAATTGTGTCGATTCTTGCATTTTCTTTGCCCTAATTCCTAAACACTTCACATGTCCATACAGGATGCTGGAAAAGCCTCATCCCAGTCCATCCTCCCTCGATAGTTTTAAAAGCCAAAAATCCCATCTTTATCTTAGGTTCAATCAATGATTCCTCATTGCTTCCCTCAAAGAACAAGAAATGGAATCTAAAAAAAATGGGACATTTGCATACTTAAAACTGAACTCGTATGTAATTAAACTTCACATGCCTCCCCTTATTTAATGGCAAACTTAAAATAGTTGCAATACAAAAAAAAAAAAAGTCCATCTTTAGTTCAACATCAATTCATGATTCGTCATCCTTCCCTCAATGAAGAACAAGAAATAAAATTTAAAATAAATTAAAAATTATACACATGTACCACTGAACTCATGTGTATTGAATATTTACTGGCATCCTAGAATGTCCATCCAGGTTGTCTCACAAGCATCCTTCAAGCCATCCTCAATAATTTTAGTACAAAGAAAATTTCCATCTTCAATTCACAGTAGATCATTGCTTCCCTTAAAGAATAAGAAAAAAAAAATCTAAAAATAAAATAAGAAAGGGAGATTTACATACATATCACTTAATTCTTAAATATTTAATCTTCATATGGTTCACCTTATTTACTTGCAACCTTGCATGTTTGTAAGGGTTGCCAGAGAAGCCTCCGCCTAGGCCATCCTCAAGAGTTTCAGTGCAAGGAAAATTTTGATCTTTATTTCAAAATCAATCAATGATTCATCAAAGAGTCCCTCAATGAAGAATAAAAAATGAAA